AGGAGGCCGGACTTTTAGGTTGTAAACCGGCGGACACACCGTTGCCCACGACGCATGCCCTTGGCACGTCGACCGCGGCTGCCATGCATGACCCAGCGCGGTATCGTCGTCTCGTGGGTCGTTTGATTTATCTCACTATCACTCGGCCGGATATTTGCTATTCTGTTCATGTATTATCTCAGTTTATGCAGGCTCCTACTCTGGATCACATGAATGCCGCCATGCGTGTTCTTCGGTATATCAAGGGTCATCCGGGTCAGGGCATCTTTCTTAGTGCTACTAGCAATTTACAAATCTCTGCATATTGTGATTCTGATTGGGCTAGTTGCCCGATGTCCCGCCGTTCTGTTAGCGGTTATTTTATCATGTTAGGGACTTCTCCGGTGTCATGGAAGACGAAAAAGCAAATCACTGTTGCCAGATCTTCAGCAGAGGCGGAGTACAGAGCTATGTCAAATGCTTGTGTGGAAGTCCGGTGGATACGAGGAATTCTTCTTGCTTTGGGTGTGCCGGTTTTATATCCTCCCCGATTGTATTGTGACAATCAATCCGCTTTATACATTGCAGCCAATCCGGTTTTTCATGAACGAATGAAGCATGTGGATGTCGATTGTCACACAGTTCGAGAAAGTGTTCAGCGAAGAGAGGTATCGACACGATACGTGCCAACTCGCTACCAGTTGGCCGATATCTTCACTAAGCCATTGGGCAAACCTATTTTTGATTTCTTGTTACGCAAGTTGGGCATTCTGGATCTTCATGCGCCAACTTGAGGGAGAGTGTTAGCGGGTATTTGTATTTACTTTGTATTGGGCCCACATGTAACCTAGCCCGTAACCCGTTATGTATTCATGTATATAAACAACCTCTAACATCAATGCAAAACAGATCAGTTTTACTCTAAATTCTACAATTTTTTTTGGAAGGGATGGAATAAATGTACATGTAGAAAGCACATATTGAAAAGATGTAGGGATCAGAGATTCAGAGAGGGAAAATATGTATACGCATCATGATTTACCATGGACTTTTGAGCAAGACAATAAAGCCAAGGATGCATGGGACAGATTGAATAAGAGATGGGCATTGTGAATCTTCATCATGAGTACTTTGGACTTTAGAGTTTAGATGCTCGTTAGCAAGAGATGAATCTAACCGGAGCATGGGTGGCTTGGACTCTCGGAGGGGGTGCAAAGTGGTCAATCGCACTGGATCCTTAAAATTTTAAGGTTCCATATTTTTAAATTCATTATTAATAATTTTGAAGCATAAGTATTTTAAGATAATAAATTAGGGTCTAAAATGTAAATTTCGAATTGGTCCAATTTTATTTTTTCATTTTTCGAGACCGGCCTGCTTAGGAGCCGGGACGGGTAGCTTAGATCTTCATATTATCTTTTTAATATTTAAAATACCTTAATTAGTGTCAATTATTCTATTTATTACACCTCATCAAACTTGTTTAGTATACTTCATCAATTTTCATTAAGGGTGTTTTGATAAACTTTCAGTTTTTTTCAATCTTCTTATAAACTACAAAAAGTCAAAACAAGAACATTTTAGGGGAACGAAAGGAGTAGTTCTTTGTAGGGCACGAGATGGTTCCACCAGACTAAGATTACACTGTAATTTACCCCATCACTACTATAACCATGTTCGTTTGAATAGAAAAATTAACTTCTAACCTTTTCTAACTCTTTCCAGTTTTTTCAATGACGACTTAAAAAAGGAATGTATATGATGAATATACAAAAATACTATGTTGGCCATGTGTGCAGCAGTTGTCCCGTGGCGGAGGCTATGTGGGCCAAGTCACATCGAATGTCGTGGACGAAAGAAAATTTGCATTTTCTTTCTGCCCCATCCCCCACACATGCCCCCAGCCTCCGTCAATCCCATACCCCTTTTTAAATTTTTCGGTTTTAGAATTTGAAATTTAAAATTTAAAAAATTAAAATTTAAAATTTAAAATTAAAAAATTTAAAAACATAAAATTTTCCCGTGTTTGATGACATCTCTATACATAGGAATTATAAGAGAGAGTTTCAATATACGTTTGAGAAATATTAGAGTAACAATAGTACAATAAGAAAGTAATGTAACAAGGAAGATAATAAATAACAATATTTTATTTCCTAATACATCTATTATTCCTAATATCTCTCGTAAGTTGATCATCTGTAATGAAGAGCAGCTTGGAACAAAGGTAGTGGAATTGAGCCGGTGTAAGCTCCTTTCGAGAAAAATTTATGACTTATTTAGGGTTCATGTGAACCCAAAGCCATGGATGACTTTTATTTGGCAATCCTTCATCCACCCCCCCCCCCCAAGTGCTCATTCACCTTGTGACTGGCTTTTAGACAACGTTTACCCACAAAGGATTGTAGTCTTTGTGGGGGTGGTTTTGAGAACATTTAAGATCTCTTCTTTGACTGCTCGGTGAGCAAGCAAATCTGGGCATCCATTCGTAGTTGGTTGGGTATTGACGCACACTTGACAATTTTGGCTAAAGCAGTCTGTTGGATGAAAATCTACAGAAGGGTTGATCAAATTAAGAAGAAGACAAGGAAGCTAGCTTTGGCATTAAGGTCTTCATGATTTGGAAAGCACACATTGAGGTCCGCTTTGATCATAAGTCTCATGATATTATGTCTATTATATTGTTTGTAAAATTAAAATTATGATTTACACTATCATAGGTCGTTTGTGGCCTTATGCATGTATTGGTTTTTAGTTCAGCATGTGTGCCAAGTTGGTCTCTTGTATTGTTTTTTTTACTTAGTGTTGTGGCATGCGTGCCTTGCTTGTTATGGTAGGCTTTAGCCTTGACCCTTGTGCTCGAGGATGCCCGTTCTACTTGTACGCACATAAGGCACATTCATTCTTTATATATTTTATTTACCGTAAAAGAATCATGTGCTTAGTTTTAATTTTTATTTCACACCTTTTTGTTGGGGAAGCACAGAATAAAACACAACGGAAGCGTATAAAATCTTTTCCCCAAATTAATGAGATGAACAACAAAGCACAATATACTCCAAAAATCAGCACCACCACCACAAATAGATAGCAACGGAAATAAGATAAAGAACACACGATTTACGTGGAAACCCCAAATCGGGGAGAAAACCACGGCCGCTCAACAACGGCACCTAAACTTCCACTAATCACCAAGAACCAAGTGGGTACAACAAGTTCTCCTCTCTAGTAAACACTAGAGGCATACACAATCATCAAGGAGCAACCTTGGAACAAACAACAATCAACAATTCACCATAAAATGGAGTAAAAACTCCCAAAAACGCAGGTCTGAAAACGCAGCAAGAAAACCACCTTCCGGGCATCAAAACGAGAAACTGACCGTTGGATTTGAAGAGGAGTATGTGAGGAACANTCTCCTCTCTAGTAAACACTAGAGGCATACACAATCATCAAGGAGCAACCTTGGAACAAACAACAATCAACAATTCACCATAAAATGGAGTAAAAACTCCCAAAAACGCAGGTCTGAAAACGCAGCAAGAAAACCACCTTCCGGGCATCAAAACGAGAAACTGACCGTTGGATTTGAAGAGGAGTATGTGAGGAACAGCATACTAAAATTTGAGTACGATCGGACTTCGTTTGGCCTTCGATCCGGACGAGAAAAGGGGCTGCTGCACAGTGGCGGAAACCTGATTTTTCTTCCTCTTCTCCTGCGTTAGCTACTGCCTGCTTCACCTCTTCTTTTTTTTTTTCTCTTATCTTCCTTTTAGTTATTAGCCACATAAAGGAGATAAATGGGCCACCAAAACAAATGGGCTAAAGCTTTACACATAAAAGAAGCCCAAATACAAAAGATATATGTAAAGTATTGTCCAATTAAAATTGGACACTTCCTCCATGTAGGAGGGATATTTCCCAACACTTTTCATTTTGATATTAACTAATAATAATGTACTCATTCCATCCCAAAAAGAGTCGCTTGTTGTTATTTAAATAGAAGTTATTATCAATTTAATTTATTTAAAAATTGGTAAGAAATTCAAAAATAAAATTGGTAAGAAACTACAAAATAAAATTTCTCAAATGGGTAGCGAAAATTGATCAAGAACGTGGTTAAATGTTTAACCTTGTGAGTTGTGAGTTGTAGTTATGCAACTTAAATTGATACAAAAGGAATAATAAATAACAAAAAAATGATTCTAATTTTATATATTTATTTACTCGATATTTATTAATTTGAACTCTCTTACTCTGTACTTCTTTCTCGCAAGGAAGAAAGATGTTCATGGCTGTTTAGATTTTATAAATAGGGATTTAGAATGAAAGAAAACAACGCAAGTCTTCCGTTAGAAAATTTTCTTTCACGTTAGACAAAAGTGAGATCTTCATGTCACTATAGTGCAAAAGATCTCTTACAACTTCAAACGTATTTTTACAACTAAAAAATCGTCACAAGATTTTCTCTTTTTTTTTTAACCATACAAGAAGAAAAAGTAACTTTAATTTATCGTATCCAATTATCCATTGCCTACTGCACCTTTTCATAACCAAAATGCAATTTTTGTGCATTTTATTGGTCACATTTATAATTCCACGTTTAAAATTTTGAAAAGCATCAAATAATTGATGCCACTCACCCGTACGTACTTTAGGTATATTCCTCCTATAGTACTTTTTGTTATACAGAGTATATTTTAGAGAAAATTTACTTAAATAGGACTAAAATATAATGACTTTCCCAATATAGGATCATATGTTTTTATTTCCCAATATAGTACCTTTAGTCATTATCAAGTAGTCATTATTCAACTAAATGTCTATCATTACTGGACATTATTCCTTCCATTAGGTCATTATTAAGTCCTATTTAGGAAATAAAAAAGTTTAAGTCCTACATTAGAAAAGTCATTATGTTTTAGTCCTATTTACTGCAAATTTCACTATATTTTACTGTAATTGAAAAAACTATTTGACCTATGATATCATAATAATCATCAAAAAAATTTGCTGGTGCAGAAGGCACGTTTCGTTGTATTTGTTATGGTAAAAGTCATGTCTTAACGGGGGTTCCAAGGGTGCAGCGTCCCCTTGGCGGAGGTTCGAGGGGCAGCGCTCCCGAGCAGGGTTCAACATGCGGTAGCTCAAATTTTTTTTATTTTAGACAAAGTGCTATATTTAAAATTCATTTGAATTTTGATTCCCGAACTTTTCTTAAAGGAAAACATTCGGAAAAAACATAGCCCGTTTTTCTCATAATCCGTGCAAAGGGACGCAATTTTGGGGCGAAAGACACGACCGCAACCTTCTTCCCTTCATGGCTCTATAAATTCCATACTTGTTCTTAAATAATTTTAATTTTATCCGATTCATTTTTGCATTGAACAACCAAAATAATCAATCTGAAAGTGCTACACGACTGTCAAATCGATCCGATCCGAACAGTCCTTGTTCCTTTGGATTCTTAGGATGCATGGCATTGGAGAGGGTAAAACTTGAAAGTATTTGGTATCAAAATGAGTCTAGGTGTCAAATCAAAAAGATATAGAGAGTAACACTAGTATTTTAGTACCAGAAATCAACCGTAAGAGAGTCTAAAGATTTGCCAACCATGCTCTTATCTACACATCTATACATTATTTAAAAAGACATGAATTTTTTCTCGCCCATGCATGACACTCATATATGGAAAGTGTTGACAACATAAATGGTAGTTTAATTATTTTACCTTATTGTTTTCCTTCTATTTTAAGTATGTTTTTATTTTTATTTTTATTTAAATGTTACATCATTTAAGCATTTAAATTAAATTAAATTAAATAGTAGTGAACCATTGGGGAATTGAAGTATGGAAATAAAATACACTGGCATTTAAATATTAAAATAAAATTTAAAAATTACAAATTAATATAGTATGGGCAGGATTAAAATGATTTATTTCAAACAAACTACAAATTAATTATTTATCATTAAAAAATATTATAATTTACAAGCACAAACGCGTAAAAATGGTAAGTTTTCTAAAAAAGATTAAAAAATAAATATGGTACAGTAAGTAGATGATAACATTTAAATAAAAGAATAAAATAAAAAACTACAAATTAATATTAATACTAGAATTTAAAAGAATGGAAAAATTTTAAAAATGACAGATGTTCTTATTAGAAAATTAGAAAATAAATAGATATGGTGTGGTAAGCAATTAACACCATTTAAAAACGAAAATAAAATAAATGGTAAGTTTTCTAAAATAAATTAGGGCAGTTTTCTAATATAAAAGAGAAAATAAAATACTCCCTCAGTCCCCAATTTCATTACAAATTCCGGGTTACGGAGTAAAATTTCTTACTTTTTGAAATCATTTTATTTACAAATTGATATATCAATAAGATATAAAAATTACATATTAAACAACTACGTCAAAAGTTCTACAAAACAAGAAGTGATAAGAATATTTTATTTTATCAAATACTTAATGAAATCGCGTAAACAAACAAAACTTATCGAGAGGAGAGAAAAAAATTGTAATCTATTTAGGGACAGAGAGAGTGCATCTAAAAATGATAAGTGTTCTAAAATAAATTAGAAAACAATGTGGTTTGGTAAGTAATTAGTACAATTTAAATACGAAAATAAATTAAAAAACTGCAAAATTAATATTAATACTATACTTTAAAAACATGATTTTTTTTAAAAAGGTAAGTGTTCAAATTAGAAAATTAGAAAATAGATACGGAATGGTATGTCACCACGATAAGCAAATGGTACCATTTAAACACAAAATAAAATAAATGGTAAGTGTTCTAAAATAATTTAGGTAAGTGTTCTAAATAAATTAGAAAATAAAATAATTATTAAAACAATAAGTATTCTAAAATATATTAGAAAATAAATACGGTACGGTAAGTAAATGATACCATTTAAATAAAAAAAATAAAATAGAAAACTACAAAATAATACTATCAATTAATACTAAAATTTACAAGCATGGTAACGTGTAAAAATGGTAAGTGTTATAAAATAAATTAAAAAATAAATATGGTACATTAAGCAAATGGTACCATTTAAATGCAAAAATTAAAAAATTATAAATTAATACTGTTAATATTATAAGCATGGAAACATGTAACAATGGTATAAGTATTTTAAAATAAATACTATTAACACTATAATTTACAAGCATGGATACGAGTAAAAATGGTAAGTGATCTAAAATAAAATAGAAAATAAATACCATAGGGTAAGTTAATGGTACCACTTAAATACAAAAATAAAATTAAAAAATACAAATTCCAAAATAAATACATTAATATGTTGAATTATTACTAAGATAAGTCAAATTATTGAATTATTATCAAGAACAATATCTGAAACATATTGAATTATTGTTACGGAAACTGGTATTTAGTCATGAGAAAGTGTATGTTGCAGTTTAAAGAGTAATAAATCGCAATGGCTTGAAGATTCTGATATACAACGAAGTGAATGCTCACACAAATTATACATACGAGTGATGTAGTTTATAAAGAAGTTTTTCGAAATTTGTAAATCATTTTACTTTTGTACTTTAAAATAATGAAATCTCTATATTCCATTATATAAAAATTTATATTCCTAAAAATGATCTTAAGTTAGTACTGTAACTATGACCCGTGCAACGCACGGGTGTGATACTAGTTCTCTTTAATGGTAATATTACCAAGTAATAAATTAGGTATGCCACAAAAAAGTGCTTAAAATTGATAATTACATACTCGTAATATGTTTATATATAATGAAACAATCATAAATAGGAGTAAAACATAGAACAAGTACCAAAATATGAGTTCTATGTTTTTGTTCCATAAATATGAGCTTGCACTGTGATAATGTGACACTATACATGTGCATCTTATTATATTTTTTTGTTATGTACAAGGTCACGATTGGTAAAGTAAATGTTAGACAATAATAATAGTATTACTTGTGGTAGTATTGGTTGTGGTAGTGTTTTATTATTAGTCATCTTCCTAATCCTATTTGTGGTAGATGTTGTATGTTAGTTAGTTTCTATTCTATATTCCTAGTTGTATTAGGAGTCTCTCCTATATATACTCTATCATGTACTTCATAATTCAAGAGAGCAATATTATTATTCTAATATTTCAACATGGTATCAGAGCCACCACTCTTGATGACCTAAAAGAGTTCTTTGCTTCCGTCGCCGTCGCCGGTAATTCCGGCGACGACGACTCCACCTATTCACCTCTATTTTCTTTTCCTTCTTTATCCTCAAATCAACTTCTCCATTCAAAAAAAGAAAAAAATTCCCGTGTTGAAATCACAAAAAAAAACCGTCAAAGAAGGAGCTTCCCTCTTGTCATCTCCATGGTTCTTAAAAAAAATCCCAAACTCCTCACAAACTCTCTCGATCAACTCATCTTTTCTTCTCCAAAAAAAAGAAAAAACAATTGTTGTTTCTCTCCAATTCACCATATCAAAATCTCAGCCCCAAATCTTTCTTCCATCACCAATTCTTAACTCACTTTTTTTTCTCTCTCTCAAATCACTCATTCTAATCATCAAACTCTCTTCTCTTTCTCTTATGTTGAACCAATAAAAAATTCAAAAAAAAAAACACAAAAGCAAAGCCAAAAGGGGAAGTAGTGAAAAAGGAAAGAATACCTCTACACCCCTTCAAGAAAGAAATAGGGCATTGCCCGGATCCAATAAAAAAACAAAGAATGTCAAAGATCTTCAGTCAAAGAGACCGCTCAAGTAGCTTTCTCTATTCTTCTTCGACGTCAGCAGCTACAAGCGCACGTCAACATTTTCTATTCTTCTTCGACGTCAGCAGCTACCAGCGCACGTCAATTTCTCTCTTCTTCAACGATGTCTGCAGCTACCAGTAAGACTTCTCTCCTCTCCAACGACGTCAGCAGCCACCGGCGCACGTCAGACTTCTCTCTTCTCCAACGACGTCATCAGCCACCGGCGCACGTCAGACTTCTCTCTTCTCAAAGTTTCCAGTTTCTAGCTAGTGTCCAAGCTTCCTCTTGCTTCAGCCAGAGTTCAGCTTGAGGGGGGATGTTAGACAATAATAATAATAATAGTACTTCTTGTAGTATTGGTTATGGTAGTGTTTCATTATTAGTCAGCTTCCTAATCCTATTTGTGGTAGATGTTGTATCCTATTTATGGTAGTGTTTTCTCTTTCAAATCACTCATTCTAATCATCAGTGTTTCTTCTCTTTATCCTTTGTTAACCAATAAAATTTCAAAAAAATACAAAAGCAAAGCCAAGAAGGGAAGTAGTGAAAGAGGAAAGAATACCTCTACACCCCTTCAAGAAAGAAATAGGGCATTGCCCGGATCCAAGAAAAAGACAAAGAATGTCAAAGATCTTCAGTCAAACAGGCACCTCTAGTAGCCTTCTCTATTCTTCTACGACGTCAGCAGCTACAAGCGCACGTCAACCTTCTCTCTTCTTCTTCGACGTCAGCAGCTACCAGCGCACGTCAATTTCTCTTTTCTTCAACGATGTCAGCAGCTAACAGTGCATGTCAGAATTCTCTCTTCTCCAACGACGTCAGCAGCCACCGGCGCACGTCAAATTTCTCTCCTTTCAAAGTTTCCAGTTTCGAGCTAGTGTCCAAGCTTCCTCTTGCTTCAGCCTGAGTTCAGCTTGAGGGGGGATGTTAGACAATAATAATAGTATTACTTGTGGTAGTATTGGTTGTGGTAGTGTTTTATTATTAGTCAGCTTCCTAATCCTATTTGTGGTAGATGTTGTATGTTAGTTAGTTTCTATTCTATATTCCTAGTTGTGTTAGGAGTCTCTCCTATATATACTCTATCATGTACTTCATAATTCAAGAGAGCAATATTATTATTCTAATATTTCAACAGTAAATGCATTTTAACTCCTATTTCAGGAATAAAAACAAAGAACTCCTATTTTGATATATTTTTAATTTTTTGCTCATACTTTAGTCCTTTTCTCTATATATGAACACACACAAACACAATCTCGGGTCTCATACGGAGTATTATCTAAAATATACTCTATGGATCTTTAAAATTTGTGGTGATGTACTCCGAGATCGACTACATTCCATCTATTTGGTCGTTATGATTGAAAATCTTATTACTTTGACGAATGCTAAATTTTACATTGATAATCATTATGCTATTAGATTTAAATAAAAGTTTTTATTTTGTCAAAGTAAAAGAACTTTTAAACGAAGTTTTAGTCACATTGCAAACTTCAGAATATTAAACAAATACGGAGTACAAATTAATCTCACCTTTCTGCATGTGTGCAAGTTTTGGGTCGCCGTTAAAAAACTAACGGCCACTAAACAGGATTTTTTGAAAATACATATTTTTAGAAAATAAATGAAAGGTGGGATTATNTAATCTTCACACTGCCCACACCATAGCACATAATCTTAACACTGCCAAAATCACAATGCTTTTCAAAAGACCTAATTTTTCAAAAGGAACAAATACTAGGTATTTCAAAATTGATTTCACACCACCTAATCTTCAGTACGAATAAAACACAATAATTAAAACTAAAAATACATGGAAAAGGGATGAAGGAATGAAAATTAAAAATTGAAGGAGAAGAGAAAATGATTAGCCACATCGATGAAGGAGGCGGAGATAACCTGATGATTGCCGCTGCTGATCAGCCTAGATCGTGGGAGAAGGCCTGAGGACGCATGATGGCGGGCAACTGAAGGAGAACGTGCGGCCGAGCGCAAGAAGAGTACGTGCGGCCTAGGGAGTGCCGTAATTTTTAATGAGAAAAAGAAAAAAGGTTAAAGGGCAAGATAGGAAAGGATTGACCCCAAAAAAGTGCTAAATTTGTTAAAAACAATGAGTAGTGCTAGATGCGTAATTTAAGGTGAGTTAGAGTGCTATGTAGGGTGATTTCTTTTAAACTAACTCCTAAACTGAGAGAACGTACCCTTTGAGTATAAAATCAAAAATTTTAAAAACTACGGAGTATATTTCAGATAATGTAGGACCTGAGAGTTCTTAATAAAAAAATCGATGGTACCCTAGAGTATATTTCAGATAATTTGGTACCTGGAAGTTATTATCAGAAAATCAAGTCCTGAAAGTAATTTTTTAATTTTATTTTTGCTTTTTCTCTTGAGATGACAAAAAAGGACGTTTTAGACCAACGAATAATTAATAATCCTTTTTTACTGCGAATCTTTTGCAACCAAACATGCCTTAGTGGCTTTGTTTTTTCCAGTTTGAAGTTTAAACCTGGTTTTCACGCCTTAACCTTTTTTTTTTTGACTTTACACGGAGTTTAAAAGAAAATAAATTATGCGAGAGAGAATTAATGTGAACTATAGTATTCCTTATTTAAAAGGAAATGAAAAAAATTACTTAGGAACGTTAAAAAAAAATTAAATGAAAAGATATAAAAGATGTGGAATTGTGTATTTAAAATGTGTACTGTTAATTATAATGTTTTTTATGCTTCAAAAAATTATAATGTTTTTTAAATGATGAAAATTTTATTTGAGACGGGAATAGTAAAAGTATTACTCAGTAATAATTTAATTGAACATGCAAAAGAAGTCCAAAAACCTTTTTTTTCTTAATTGGGCCTGCGAAGTATTGTTGGGCTCATATGGATCATGGAAGAAAATTATAGTCAATTTAATCCAATCTTCTCAAGTCTTTATTGTAAGTACACAGCCCACGATACTGTTTGCCCCAATAAATGATTCCAATGTCCAGATGTACATAAGTCGAGCGGGCCAGGCCTGGTTCGAGCATTTTAATTGGGCTTGGACAAAAAAACTTCAAGTCCAAGCCTTTTTTAGTTCACGGACTTTCTATTTCGTCAATAATCAAAAGAGAAATTTACCTAAATAGGACTAAAATATAATGACTTTCCTAATATAGGACTATATGTTTTTATTTCACAATGTAAGACCTTTGGTCATTATGAAATAGTTATTATTCAAGTAAATGTCCATCATTACTGGACATTATTACTCCCACTAGGTCATTATTAAGTCCTATTTAGGGAATAAAAAAGTTTAAGTCCTACATTAGGAAAGTCATTATGTTTTAGTCCTATTTAGGGCAAATTTCACTAATCAAAAACCTTCATGTTTGATTATGGGAATATTCCGGATTTCCGGGACAAAGAGAACATAAAGGCTCTGTTTGGTACACGGAATTCAAACTATGGAATTGGAATTGAAGACTTGAATTCCAATGCTGGTGTTTGGTAGCACAAAAATTATGTGGATTTGGAATTGATAGTGCAAAAAATGAATGGAAATTGGTGAATTCAATTCTATGGAATTGAATATCATGGAATTTCAATTCCAATTCAATTCCAATTCTATCAATTCCATATACCAAACGGACCCAAAGCCTTTTTCGAGAAATTTCACGAGCCACATGTTCATTTAAAAAAAAGAAAATAAACTCACTAAGGTGTTGTTTGAGAATTGGCTTAAATGGTGAAGAAATTTCACGAGCCTTGTCTCTCTAAGGTGTTCTCAACAAAAAAAAAAGAGCATAAAGCCTTGTTTGAGAACAACGTTTTTTATTATGTCCGTGTTTTGAATAAAATTTTAATAATGATGTAGATTAAGTTTGAAAACGCTAACGCTAAAGACTACTGTTAGATATCATTTTCAATTTTAAAATACTAACGTTTATCTCGATGCGAGAGAGGGCTTAAGACGGCGAGTACATGATTCTTATGGTAGATGAAGTAAGACTTTTCCATTAATGGATTGCATGAGTAATTTCAAGACCACATCCTATAAAATAAGGATAAATAGTGCTCCAAATTTCCACAGACAGGTGCTATTTATTCAACGTGACCTCAAATTAGTTTTCTTTATACTAAAAAGGATAGAATACATTTGTTGAGAAAAAGTACATTACATCGATTTAAAATGGAAAGAATTACTTGACACAACTTTACACATTACAAAAAAATAAAAACTCCCTTCCTAGGAGTAAAACATTATGAAAAGAATAGAATATCAGTCATAAGACTTTAAAAAGGAAGATAGGAGTACAAACTCTCATTGCTACACTACAATACTTACCATATTGTCACACTATCATCCGTCGACGCCGAGCACCAGAATGACACCACGAATCACCGAAGGTTGGCTGATCACACCATAATATTACACTGTTTTCAGTTTTCCATCACAGTGTCAATGCGTACTCTTACACCACACTGTCATTATACCTCTATTTTGATTTTGAAATAATTAACTACCAAATTTGATAATATTTAAATGGGAAAATAAAAAATGTCACAATTATTTATTAATTGATATATTGATTGAAGTCTTTCATGCATCTAGCAAGAGGTATGCATCATCATCTTCACAAATTCATCGAAGTTTACTTGGCCATCACCGTCCAAATCAGCTTCTTGTATCATTTCTTCAACATCTTCCTCACTCAGTTTCTCCCCTAGATTTATCATCACGTTCCTCAACTGCACAAATACGTGATTCAGAAAAAAAAATATTATTATTATTATTATTTTCAAATTTACAACCAATTGGGGTGTTGGGGTTGTCCCCCAAGTCTCCAAACAGGGGAGTTTGACTGCAATGAACAGAAATATTGACTTTTTTTGACAATTAATAGCGAACTATTTAGCTAGTGATATTAGCTTTTTATATCCAACAAGAATATAAAAAAACAATATGATGATCTCAGAACTGACTCGACGGTCATCTGACACAAAGAAATAGTGATATCGAAGAAAAGAATGTAGTAATTTGGGAGAATGTATTGAAAAATTTCTTCCATTTACTTGACCAAAAATACTTGTAATTGTTAAGCTTACTTCAGTGGGAGAGATATAACCATTTTGGTCCTTATCAAAAACCTTGAAAGCTTCTTTAAGCTCCTCCTCTGCGTCTGTTTCCTGCTTGGTCATTTAAGAAACAACACATAATAAAAACATTATATTTCAAAGCCCAACAATAAAACGACATATTCTATGTGTGCATTTTCATAGTATGAAAAAACGCACTCATCGAATATGTCATTTTATTCTTACTGGGTGTAAGTACGTTAGAATTATTTATTGAATTGAAAACTAAAATTTTATAAGCTCTTGAGTTGAATTAGTACCTTGATTTTCTTGGCCATGAGGTTCAAGAACTCGGGGAATTCGATGGTGCCATTGCCATCGGCATCCGCCTCGTTGATCATCTCCTGCAGTACTTCTTCCGATGGGTTCTGGTGATCCGGCGATGATCGGATCACCGCTGCCAATTCCTCTAGCGTAATGCAACCTGCATGCATGCATACCAATCATTTATGCAGACAATTTTTTAGTTGAACTAAATAATCGATTGAATTCAATTTTTTTTAAATATGGTTCAGTCTTAGTGTCTTATACGAAGTAACAAAGATACCGATCAAATGCCTTTTAATTAAGGAAGAAATGAAATGGAGATTATAGATACCATCGCCGTCTTTGTCGAAGAGATTGAAGGCTTCCTGGAACTCCGCAATTTGGTCTTTCTTTATTCTTAGTACCTCCGACGAAGACGACGGCGACGACATGTTAAGGTTGCCGGGCCGGCCTTTTTTTTCTTTCTAAATTTAATTTTATTTGCTCGATTCTTGGTGTGTGTGTGGCTTTATATAGAGGAATTGAAAATAATGAGAACCGGACCGGAAGAAAATAGTCGAGCTCAGGCCGGGTCGAGGAACGAGTTAACCTGAAGACATACCGAGTAAAATTTTTCTTTCTTTGGATAAATAATTCGTACTCCCATCCCTTCACATGTCTTACACGTGTTTTTTTCAACCGAAGGATTACTTCTTTTTTCTGCAATTTTTTTTAAATGTATTTTTTTGCCTACTGCAATTTGCCAATTAGGTTTTACGGAGTATTTTATTTATGTATTTATATTTTTTATAGTTCAATGCAGTTTTTATTTAAAACTATAATATAAAAAATATAGGGAAAAGAAATGTATTATGATTTGAGTTTGGTGTAAAGAATTATAGATAAATTAGAGTATTTTAAGTTTGAGTACGTGTGATGTTATGATTGGAGATCGTCTTACACATCCATAGTGGTAAAATGTTCAAGAGTGAGCCCTACATAAAGAGGTAATTTTTTTGTAGTTTTTATTTTGATATTTAATCTATGTTTTAATTCTATTTTGGGTCATTTGTTATTTGATAATAATATTACATATGTATATATAGAAAATACATAGAAAATTCCAACCAAAGTAAAATAAGAAACTATGCTAAGAATAGAATAAGAAATGTAAATACTAATTGTTGGTTGTTCTTTGTTTATCTATCGTTTTTCGTGCTTTCAAGCTCTAGAAGAAACACAGACAAATAATGTTCCTTTCCAGTTCTTCAATCAGACAATTTTTTTAAGATAGATATATGGATAAGGGACAACGGCGGTTAAACACACTCATGTTTTTTTGGAGAGAAAGAGAGGAGTAAGGAATAGCGATGACATGATTAATGATGGTAAACCGTCAATGATGAAGACTATAATGGGCCATGGCACACAGTTGAGAAAAAGGAGTCTTTATTTTTGAAAAAAAAAACCTTGTAGGCTTGTAGCCCTGATACATTGATACAATTTGATAATAATTCATCTTATTAAATATTAAAAATTACTTCAGTATAAATAAAAAATACATGAAGAGCAAAGTTAAATTTAGAATTATAATAACAATAGAATAAATTAAGTAAATAAAAATAATAAAGTAAATAAGAATAATATTCTATTTTCTGATATTTCCTCCGTGTCTAAATGATTTACACTTTACACAAAATGAATTAAAATCTCAAATTTTTTTCAATTCATTTTATTAAAAGATTGGTATGTAAATAAAAAATAAAACTTGTCTATTTAAAAAGTACATCAAAAGTTTTACAAAACAAGAAGTGATAAGATTACTTTATTTCATCAAATAATCAATGAAAACACACAAGTAAATAAAAATTTCTACAATTTTTAAATAGTAAAGTGTATAAATTATTTAGAAACGGAGAGAGTATATATATCAAAAATATTTAACTCACAAAAGAAAAATTGGAGTATGTTGGGGAGGGAGAGTAAGTTAAAAAAGGTTGACTTGGTCCTACTGTCATCCAACACCTACACACATATGTAACCCAACCACACGCTATAACACGGTTTTTTCTTCCCGGACCCTCCGATCCCCTTGTCATCCATCTATATCTAATTATATATTGCTTTGTTGCAAAAAGAAGACTTACCATATCTTTGCCGATTTTATTTGTTCCTGTGGAAAAATGTACAGAATTTTCATGACCATGACACACGACTGTAATTCTGGAGAAGAAAATTATAATTTCGCCGTGTGCGTTCGTGAATACGGAATGTGTAAAGCTCAATTTAATTATGTCCTCGTTGTTCAGACGGTTCTAAAAAGACTCTCGGAGATGAGGCTAGTCTTTTCTTTTACAAATGCGAAATCAAGTATTTATTCTTCTTCCGTTTCAAAATTATCGTCTCACTTCGAAAAAAAGAAAGTGACAATTTTACTAAATAAATGATCAGCGGAAACATGCAAACAGTCGATAACTATCGAGAAGTCATAATAGTAACTGCAACAGAGGAAGTATTTGTTGAGTTCATAGAGCACTCGATGAAATACGATATTAAAAAACATATATGCGTAATTTCAATAGGAAACATGTTTTCTGGAACACGCTATTGCGAATGATGGTAGAAGAATTGAAGAAGACGAGTCGTCAAGGATTGTTCATATGTTGGTAATTAGGCCTTGTTGGGAACAACGTATTCGATTAGTGTTAATATTTTTGATAAAATTTTAATGGTGTAGATTTCTAAAAATACTAACGCTAAAGGCTACCGTTAACCTCTAACGCTGATGCCAAACGGGACTTTAGTCTAGACGTGTGCAAATAAGGACCCGGGCCGGATCTGGGCCGGGCTGGATACAAATTATTAGCCCATTTACATGGGCGGGTCTAGCCCGGCCCGCATTTGATGGGCTAAACTCTTTACCCATACCCGCCCACCTTAGCGGGCCGAACTACCCACCGGGCCGCCCGGCCCGGATAAAACACCAAGAAAACTTTTTTTTGTACAAAATATTCAAAAAAACATTGTACTCTTTTTTCAATGTTTAAAATAAAATCAACACTCGCCAAAATTACATAGAAAACATAACAGAGGTATTGTTGCATAATTAATAAACCTATCATACTAAATCATTAAAAGAATATTGATTTTTGTTTAAGAGAGGTGAGTGAATTGAACTATTAGTTTCCATTGATTACCTTATTTATTTTATTATTTTTGTATCATTTTAGTTACATTTCTCATTTTTTCATTTTTTATATCTATTATTTTTATTTTTTAAACTAAGACTAATCTTTAAAAAAGGAAAAAGAAATGATGATGGAGGTAGAAAGTAATTTAAAAAATTTAAATGAAAATTTCAAAAAAAAAATTAAAAAACAAAAATTCATCAAAAATAATCCCAACTTTCATTTTGTTGCCTAAAACGGGCATTTCAGTTAACCCTCCGTTAGAAACTTAACGGCGACCTAAAACTGGCAAATTTCAGTAAAGTTGGGATTATTATGCATCACAGTGAAAGATGAGATTATTTTTGAAAGAGCAGGTAAAGTTGAGATTATTTTGAATATTTTTTCCTAAATTAAACTAAAACTAACATGCTTCATTGCCAGCACATACTACATGCTTTGTACAGCTGTTTGTGTAGGCATGAAATGTTTGTAGATTTCGACCGAGAGAAAGAAAGTGGAAAAAAAGAAGGAAAAAGTCTCGAAGTAGGAAGAAATAAGGGAGACAAGAGAAAGAAACCCACCTTTCACTTTTCTTTTCCCCTTTGAAAATCCACAAAGAACCAAACTTTGTAGTCACAACCCTATTTATGATTTATGAACCACCACAGTTGCCCAACTCTCATTTCGCCTCCCAGCCAACTCTTCAGCGGCGGTTCACACTGAAACTGATCGCCAACCAGATCGCAATGCAAGAATTGACTTCAAATTGGTTATCTTTGATAAATTTGTGTTCTTGAGAGATTTGGTTTTTCAGAGCGAGAGAGAAAGATGCAATCTTCAGAGCAAAAGGTGGGATCGGTGGCGGATACAAGAGGGAAGCATCGGATTTCAGCTGAATTGAAGCAGCTAGAACAGGAAGCTCGTTTCTTGGAGGTCAGTGTCCCCTTTCTTCAATGTTTTTCTTAAAAATAGAACCTTTTTGTACTTAAATTTCTTGGTTATGTGAGGCTATGGGTGATCTGTGTTGCTTATTGAGATGGGTATTTCTTATCCAGAACAAATGGCTGGAATAAGTTTAGAAAATGGAAAAGTTTGATGAATATTTGATAGTTTGTAAGGGTGATTGGTGAGTGATTATGAATTTATGCAATTCTTGAATTTGAGATGAGGACCAGTGGTTATGCATATATGCCAGATTTGAAGCAGCCTTGTTGGGTTTATATATTTTGTATCCACACTAAAAAGTGTTTCAAACTAGTAATGCTCTAAAAAATTAAGAGTTCTTTTTTGGTCTCTAACTCTCTGTTTGGTTTAGGGAAGGCAAGAAGAAGAGTGAATTGGTGAAAATGGATAGATGAGAAAAACAGTAGAGAAATAATGTAGGTTTTGTGTGTTGTTTGGTATGAGACTTTAGGATATAAAAGGAGAAGGCATGGATAGAAATTTAGAAGACATCTTATATATTTTTTTCATATTTCTGTCAGTGAGGGGAAGAAAAGAAATAGGTACAAATTTAAGACATTTATAATTCTCTCCATGAGAGAATAAATGAGTAGAAGTTAGGACCGCTAATCGGTAGCTACTTGGTTAAAGGTCTATTAGTGAAAAGATTGATTAAGTCGAGAGTGCTTGGTGACTACTCGTCTTGTATTACAATTTACAACAAAACCTAGTACTATATAATCCTATCTTCATTGAGGTCTAGGGGTCAAGATGTAAGCATACTTACCTCTATAAGAATAAGAACATAGAGGTATTTTCTATTAGATCTTTGGTGCATTGTCACTTTGAGTACCTAAACCTTCATAGAAAGGAAGTTTATTGGGTCATTATGATTTCTCCTGTTTTACCCAAAGCTAAAGCTTTGTCAATAATGACTGTTTTAGTCCAGAAGGAACTCAACCTTGTAATAAGTAAATTGTTAAAAAGTACTCCATATATGACAAGCGTTTCTAATAATATTAGTTTTACAAAATAATATACAGGAAAATTTTGTGCCAGAAATTGTGAGATTCTTATAGGTATTAAACTTTGTATGATGTTTAATCCTTTAAAATGCAATAGAGCTTCTTCTTGCTAACATAGATTATTCAACGCACTAACAGTGATCACAAAGACGAAGGTTGTTATTTTCAACATTGATATTAAGGAAAAATGTTTTCACTTAAATCTATTTACTTTACCCAAACTTTTCTTGTGAAGATGTAGCATGGCCGGATTATCACACTTTCATACACCAGTTTGATTATTCAGGCTCCGTTTGGTAGCCGTAGGCGGCTTACTCTTCTTGTATAAGCAGGTCTGCGTGTACAAGTAGAACAAGCACATTTTGACTTGCAGACATGATTATTTAGGGTTTTACCAAACACTTTTCATTTGGGAAAAATAAGCAGGTTAGGAGTCTGCCATTTCTGCCAAATAACCCTTATGGAATAGACCCTCCCTTATTTTTTTGGCAAGTCTAATGGGTGCCTCTGCTAAGTATATTCCCAAACCCCATAGTTATTAATTTATTATTTCCTTGAGATGATAAAAAGATTTGAATTTATTATTGTTTCTGCGACTCTACGTACACATACCCTTTTTGGACCCTACTTTTGTGAAATTTTACTGGGTTTGTTGTTGATAATATGAACTGATATTTCGGATTATGATAAACTTGTCTAGGAGGAACTGGCACAGGTTGACAAAATGGAAAAAGCTTCAGCTGTATGCATGGAGTAAGTAAAAGAAGTAAAAGTCTGTTCAATAGCTGAGGAGTAAAGTAAACAAACTATCAATTTGTCTAATATTTTTACTATTTTTGCTTTGGGCATTAGAATATTGATTACCATGGAAACCAGACCGGACCCGCTGCTCCCGGAGTAAGGATATATTTGTTCTTCATTCCTTTTAAGTATGTAACTCTTTTTTTTTCTCGTCGGTCAATCGTGTTCCTCACGCTGAAGTTGTTGTGAATGACTGACTGTGCCAGAACGGTGGGCCCCACGAGTCCCCTTTGGGATCAATGGTTTGAACGACCGGCAAACTCGTCTGTCTGCAGGTGCTGGATACTTTGATCGTTCCACGCGGGTTTTAGATGTTTTCCCTTTCAATGAGAGGGAGGGATGGAGGATTCAATGATTCACATTCAAATTGGTTCCCGCTTACAGCATATATTGCCCTATTGATTGATGTAAAGTATGAAGTGAAAATTTTATCAATGTGCAGAAACTTTGGTTTTTTTTCTGTACTATACATTTCTTTTGATTCATGATGAAGAAGTGGAAATTTCTGAATCTATATTATGATGGTTTATTATTATGCAAAGTCCATATTTCTGCTATATCTTCTTTACTCATATACATCTTGACATTGGCTTGAAATCTTGAATAGTGTTCAACTAATCCTCTTCTCCCCCCCCCCCAAAACCAAACACACTCTTGTTGAAAGTTTTGCTGCTTTTCCCTTTTAGGGTAAAAATTAATTTTGTAATAAGATTGATAAATACTCAAGGATATCTTGTTTGTAAGAAAATCACAAGTTATTTGTAAACAAAGTGCACTTATGGCTTGTGGCAATAATTTCGACGTTTAATTTTAGTATTTTCAAAATTAATCTATACTATTAAAAAATTATTAAAAATGGTATTGTAGGCAACTTTGCCTTATAAAAATCACGTTCAACTAACTTACCATAGGAGCCATAAATCATACACCAACAGAATCCTTGTCAAGACAGAGACATTTAATTGACCTTTATTGCAGGAAAAAAAGTACAACAGCATCAAGAAAAACAAATGAAATGTAAAAATGTGCTTCCATTAGTATCCATATGTCATCACAAGAGCTTTACACATTCACAATGCGGTCAAAATAAAAAGATGGAGATGTAAAAGTGTATGAATACATCTGATCTCAGTCTTAGTATTGTACCATTCAAACAAATGGAGATTTACATCAAACCTTCAAACATGGTGAAAGAGCATGAGAGAAAAGGTTTCATGTAGCTTTCCCGGTCACTCGCTGGGCAACCCAACCCAACCCGTCGTACAGACCATCCCCGGTGAGGGCAGAGCAGGCTTGGATGTGCCAGTCATGGTTCTTGATGCTGTGAAGGGAGAGGGCATCGGTGATCTCAGCTGGAGTCATTGCGTCTTTAAGGTCCTGTTTGTTAGCATATATAAGTACAACGGCGTTCTGCAGGTCTTCATGTGGGAGAAGCTTGAACAGTTCGTCCTTCATGATGGAAATCCGGGCTTTGTCTGTACTGTCTATAACTGCAATAACAGCATGAGTTCCGCGGTAGTATGTGGCCCACGATGTCCTTAGCCTGTCCTGCCCGCCAAGATCCCAAACCTGCAGGGAGAACATATATATCAGACTGATTAGACTAGTTAGAGAAAGGTTATTTCCAGTTTTCATCTTTGAGGGTCTCTTTGAGCCAAGAAGAAGTGTTGGAGAAAGAAAATGGGAAGGGAATTTTGGAAAGGAAGACAATTTTCAATAGTAATATAAAAAAAATTCTTATCGAATAAAAGAAAGTATTGATCCAAACATAGGTAAAGAAACTAGTTTCATTGGCATTTTTTTCTTTTCCTGCCATTTTATGTGATCCCAACATAGGTCAAAAGTTTAACAGAATTCCAAGCCTCTATTTATGGAAAAAATGCGGATAATATGAATTTTTTAGAGGATGTCCACACAAATATAATGGTATTCATTCTTATAATCTTCATCTAAGATACAAGGAAAACAATATCTCATCAAGGATGACATCATATAATCAATTATCAATCCAAATACATACAAAAAATCTCATGTTTAAATTATTATATGATCTTTTGCTTATATGGAGTAGAAGAGATGCAAGTATTCCTCACCTGACGTACTACTACGGTACTAGTTTTCTAGGGTCTGTTTGGATGAAGGGTTTTTTAGGGGATGACTTTACTCCAAGTAGAATGTTTCTAAAGATTATTAAAAAGTGATCAAAATGTTATACACTCACATATTATGTTAATCTTTCAATTTTCATAACATCCTGAACATATACTCCATTGAAAATATCAATATAAAGACTAAATCTTCCCCTCCAAATACCTTCAAAGCACTCCATCCAATCAGAACCTAATTATGTTCCTTTTATCAACGCAAGCAATTCAACCTAGTGTCAACAAAGTGAATCTAAAACCTGGAATGCATAGAACCTATACACCAAAGCTTTGTACAAGTACCACCATTCATTAACATAACTAGTAATAAATAACAAGAGCACAAATTCATCATCAAGGATTCTTGATGTAGTCAAAGAACAACCACCTTGCTAAGCTAGATAATCTCTAGCAAATTCTAGTTGGGCTAATTATTAGTTCAAAGTCAGGGGATACAATAGAAGCCCAATACGACAACAACAAACCCAATAAACCTCGCCACTAGGAGCTGAGGTTGTTTCGAATAGACAATCGGCTCAAATATAGAAGCACAACCAATACACTAGATGCCCAATGATCAATTAAATCCCAAAAAAGTACTTCATAAGTTTCGCTACAAAATTCTAACTTGTAGTAGAATAGCGGCCAAGGAGTCCAATCAACAAAAGACGAGGCCAAAACATTGTCCCTGACTGGTCTAGGCATAAAGATCCCAAAAGGCCCTGCACATCTACTTGCTGTTTTTTAGGTACAAACTTGGTGTTTGAGGAACCAATAGCATGGATATTATTAAAGAGTTACCTATATTTTCTTATACAGAGTATTTACTTACTACGAGTAGTATTTTATTTAATAAAAAGACCTCTAAATATCCCAATTTACTTTCAGCAGGTATCTAATCCTAGCCTTGGTAAAATAGCTATTCCATATTAACAAATATGAGTATTTTTTATTCACACCAGTGAACCAGATTTTTAGTAAAATAAAATCAACCCTATTGCCAAAATCTTCTTGGGCAAGAGGATAATAAGGAATTTTCAACATCTCTAAAGCCTTTGATATTCGTGACAGCCAGGAACTCTCCTAGGATCAAAGGATTCTCAATACTTTTTAAGGAGTTCTTGGTGAAAAACACTTATTCATATTCAGGGCAATATTCATAGCAGTCTAATAGCAGATTTTCTCACTCCATTGTCATGAAAGAAATGCTCAGATATAGTTTCGTTCCTAATCATCTTGAGGGATGAAATAATAAATTCCACTTGAATTCACTTCAGACTAACTGGGAAATCAGGAAATGGTAGCCATAAAAGCAACCAGAAAGGCAAAGAATGAAAGCTGCAAATCCATTTCTCATATTCATTCAATGGATTTGCAAAATAGCCTTTACACATTTCAATGATCTCAGGTCATCTCTCACAGATAAGCAAATGATCAGATCCGTTTTCGATTAAGCATGCTCTCAATTGCGTCAATTTCATTTCCAATAGAGAAATTGAACAATATAAAAAAATAGAAAAGCATCTGAGTCGCAATTTCATCAAACTAAATCAAAATAAGAGTAATCCGCATAAATAATAATAATAATCATCATCATGTATAGATTCGAACCTCGAATCGGATGTTCTTGTAGACGAGCTCCTCGACGTTACTGCCCACGGTAGGGTGAGTGGTGACCACCTCTCCCAAGTGCAGCTTGTAAAGAGTCGTCGTTTTGCCGGCGTTGTCCAGTCCGACCACCACGATCTTGTACTCCTTCGCCGGAAAAAGCATGAACCAAAACTTCGAAAAGAAAGCTCCCATGTTTCGCCTTTTACAATCGAGAGTTGGTTCGCGGAGGATGAATTTTGAATCTTGATTCGAAATCCAGTTCAATTCGGATCTTATCTCGGGTCGGGTATGCTCACGCAGTGATGGCTCGATCGGAGAGGAAGAGATTGTGCGAGTTTGGATCAAGTTTTATGCCCTTCATTTTGTCAACCATTTTAATTGGTCAATCGACCTATTTTGACCGGAAATCTTATAAGATGATGGGTTTGAACAAAAGTTTTGATGATCGAATTTGAAGTTAACCGAAATTGAAATGATCTGCTAAAAATGGGTTGAACCAGACCGAATCCGAACCTGGCATGACCGACCCGCTAAAATAATAATTTTTCAAAATCATGACTTTACTACTTGTTTTTTAATGTATAAATTTATATTTTCAGAAATTTTTTTAATGATATTGCATAATTATCTTACTTTTTTTTTTCTCTAAAATTTTAGAATTTTTTAAATTCCTTATATTGATTTATATATCTAAATTTTTTTTAAGATTTAAAATAGAATAATCTAATAGATTTAGTACATATTTTTTGATATTTTAAATTTATTTAATTTAAAATGCAAATGTTAATGTAATTTAAAAACTTTAAAAACTAAAGTAATAACCTGTTGAGTCGACCCGAATTTGATGACACTGGGTCATGAATATACATTTCTCAACCCGAACCCGAATTAACCTGAACTCAAAGTGACCGAATCTGAACCCGACCTGACCGACCGATTTGCCACCTCTAATAATACTCCCTCCCCCTCCGTCCTAAAAAACATACAATGTTTTTATTTTTAAAAAAATTTAAAAAAAGTGTATTTTGATATTGAGTTTTAAAAAAATATTTTCGATGTGACATATTTGGTTTATTATCATTATGCTCTACGTTATTTTATAATTTTTTAATAATGTCATTAAGTGCGCACTAATTATCCAAAAATAGTGTTTACTTATGTTTTCTTTGTCATGGTCTTTGACTCAATCTAATTATATATGGCCCTTGTGTAGGTCCTTTCATTTATCATATTCTGGATATATTTTTCATAAATCTTCCATGATCATTGTGTAATGTCTTACCTTGAAGGCTTAAATTGAACACACATAATTGGCATAGTGTTCTTTTGAGTTTTGAGAATAGTCTTAAATGCCCTTGCTACGTATGTCACATAATTATTTTTTGAGTTTTTGAAATTGAACTCTTACAATAAATCCTCAGGTACTCTAAGGTCATTTGTAAAGTCTAATTATTTGGTCATTATACACATTTGCATTTTAGTTAACAAGACAAACTCAATAGTCATTAAATCGACCAAAGTCCTTGGATATTATTCTCTGCGCCCAGATTAAATCCAAATCTACATGGGCATTATACTTTTACTCATACAAAATCATGATGCTTCACTGCAAGCAAGTTGCAAGACATTATGCATAAAGATAATACTCGTATTGACCAAGTAATATAGTTCCTCCGTTCCACAAAACCCTTCCTCTTTCATTTTTTTTGCTTTCCACAAAACATTTCCACTTTCTATTAAAAAATCACTTTTTTTCCCTACTTTTTCATACCCTACCTATCACATCATACTTTTTCACTATTAACCAAACTATCACATCTTACTTTTTTCCATCACATCAGGGGCAAAATTAGAAAGTCAACCAAAATTATATTTTCTTTATTTTTCCCCAAAGTCAAAACCGGAAGGGTTTTGTGAAACGGAGGGAGACGCAATCAAAACTACTCGGTAATAGATGAAGATAATATTGACCAATTAACTAACATCATTAGGCTCATTACATGCAAGTTGTGAGACATTATGCATATTAGTTCAAATATATGTCACAAATTTTTTCTCTCAATTTATGTAAGAAATATTATCAAAAATAAATATATAGTAAAATAAAAAGTAAATTAAACAAATGCTCACATGAATTAAAAGTGGAAAAAAAAATAATGTGTTGTCGAAATTTCAGTAGTGGAGAAAATGAACATTATTTCAATGACCTACTAGAATGAAGATGTTTGTTTCGGATGGATGAGAACCGTCACTATATTCATCCTTTCCATTTCACTAACGTTAGTGTGAATAAGATTGGTCTTATTAAGAAAAAAATTGTTTTGTTTTTATCTTATTCTCCATACTTTAATGTCATCTAACTAATTTATTATTGGGTAATTTACCTAAATTAGACTAAAACATAATAACTTTCTCAATATAGGATCATATGTTTTTATTTTTCAATGTAGAACCATTGGTCATTATCTGTTACGTAGTAGTCATTATTGAACTAAATATCCAGCATCACTTGGACATTATTCTTCTCACTAGACATTATTAAGTCCTATTTAGGGAATAAAAAAGTTTAAGTCCTACATTGAAAAATGACTTACGGAATATGTTTTAGTCATATTCACTGCAAATTTCACTTTATTATTATATACTTTTTATTTTTTTACTCCGTAATATTTTTATTGAATTTTATAAAAATAAACCGTAAAACATTTTACTCTGTATAATACAAATAGGGCATTATGACTTTGCCAAACAAGAGTGGATAATAGTGGGTCCTTTGATTTCAGCAATTTGTTTGCCACCAAACAGACCTCATAAAAGTTTGACATGCGTGAAAGCCCTTGCCTGGCTTCTTCATCATCCCCATACTTTATTTTTTCCATTTTAAAATTAATTATTTTTTCAGTTTCAAAATAAATAATTTTTATAGAATGTGTTGGATGGTATATGTTAATTCTCTCATTAAAAAATATTAAATTATATTTGAGTTTTTAAATATATGTAAATATTAAATTAAAAAAATTATTTTGAGAGAGAGAGTATAGGACATATATATTGTCCAATCAAGTGTTAATTACTGCACTCTCTGGAGATATTCTATTCCAATCACGTAAAATAATTTGTGAAGTGATTTGGATATTTTAACATTTTTTTATTATAACACGTATTTTGATGCTAAAACTTTTACAAAAGAAACTATAATTTGTTCAAATAATAACATGTCAACGCATGGCTATGGTCCTATAAGGTTGGAAAAATTGATATAAATACTTTCAGAAATTTGAAATTTTACAATAATACTCCCAAATTTAATAAAAGACTCTGGTGCTCCCAATTAAACTATAAGTTTACATTACTACTCCCATTATGCCTAATCAGCTTTTCTTACGCTTACATGTAAGTAATTATGCTTAGTTGACATCTTAGTTGTTTTTTTTTTGTTTTAATAAGAGGAAAAATTATATAAATACTCACTGAAATTCAAAATTTTACAATAAAACTTTCAAAACTAAATAAAGACTCCAGCATTTTAAAAAATATCTTCCTTTTACGTGTTACGATGTTTTATAAAAGTGGTGTGACTCTAAAAAATACTCCCTTTAAAAAACTAATATAGTAATATGTAAAAATAAATTTTTTTAGTAATATTACAGATTAATTAATTGAGCTTAATTGGCATCGTAGTTATTTTTTTATATTTTAATACAAAATACCCCCTCCGTCCAAAAATTATCTTCCCATTCACTGTTAAGAGTATTAACAAGATCAAATTTTATTTACTTTTCTTACCTATTTTAATTATATACTTGATAAAATAATATAATTATATCATTACTAGTTTTATAAATCTTATGTAGTTTTTAGATACTCCCTCCATCCGGAAATATTCTTCCCACTTTCCTTTTTGATTCGTCCGGAAATATTCTTCTCATTTCCTTTTTTAGTATGCTTTTTAGGGATAAATTTTAATAATACCCTTCCATTTTATCACTAATCTATTTTTTATTGCTTTTTTAATAAGAAAAGGATATTTAAAAGTTTATAGTATGTGCACGGGAAGAATATTTAAAAGTTTTTACTATTCCTTAATAAGCGTGTCAAGTCAACACGGGAAGAATATTTCCGTACGGAGGAAGTATATAATTTTATTTTTTGATTTCACACCACTTTTATGAAACACCGTAACATGTAAAAGAAAAATATTTTTAAGAGTACTGGAGTCTTTATTTGGTTTTGAGAGTTTTATTGTAAAATTTTGAATTTCTAGAAGTATTTATATAACTTTTTCCTCTTATTAAAACAAAAAAAGCAACTAAAATGTCAAGTAAGCATAATTACTTACATGTAAGCGTAAGAAAAGGTGATTAGGCATAATGGGAGTAGTAATGTAAACTTATAGTTTAATTGGGAGCACCAGAGTCTTTTATTAAATTTGGGAGTATTATTGTAAAATTTCGAATTTCTTGAAGTATTTATATCAATTTTTCCTATAAGGTTTGGTTTTGATTTTGATTTTCATGAAAGTTGTACTCGTCTCGTATATTAATACGAAAATAATTTTAGTATATTTATTTTTGAGTTGAATATGTCAAACTCGATGAAAATTCTTGGATAGAGGGAGTATATATACATTTTTCCTTAAATTTGATTTTCCACTAGAATATATATACTGTTTCAAATGAATAGTGCATTTGTAAAATTCCAATATTCCTTTTAAGAAATTTGAGGTGTTTTGTTGGTGAAGTTACTGAAGTAGATGCACCACAAAACTACAAATGCCATTTTGTCAAAACCTATTAGAAGATAGCTTAAAGGAGAGTAATAATAATAATAATTTATATTCCTTCCCCTCCAAAATGAATACTACCTCCGTCCCTGAGTATTTATCCAATCTTGACTTTTTTTGATCAATCATTTTCAACCTTTGACATATAATTAAATAAAATGTATATTATATATTAATTAAATAAAATAATATTTTAAAAATGTTTGATATAATAAATCTAATAAAACTATGTTTATATCAATAACTAATATCATTTTTATTTAATTTGAGGTCAAAGTTTACCAATTTTGACCGAAAAAAGTCAAAAATGGACAAATACTCAGGAACGGAGGGAGTATAACGTTACCTAAAACAAAACCAAATTTTAAGTTTTTTTTATGAGTAATTAATTTATGTAAAAATTGGTGTCTTATCTATTTAATAATTACGTCAAAAATTCTAGAAAACATGAATCGAAAATAATATATTATGGGTGGCTCGAAAGGTGTGCAAAGTAGTCAACCGCACAGGACACCTAAAATTTTAGGACCATATATTTTTAAATTCGACATTAATTTTAAAGCATAAGTATTCTAAAAAATAAAATAGCACCTAAAATGTAAATTTTTGACCCGACCCATTTTATTTTTTTTGGGCCGGCCCTGTAACATACTCCCCCCGTCCCAGAGTATTTTTCCACTTTCATTTTTACACACCATCTAATGCACTTCTTTAATCCATTTTATCTTGTAATTTGTATATTAAAAAATTATAGAAATTATATATTAATAATCTATATGTTAAGACAAATCAAACAAGATTACACATGACTATATTTAAGCTTACATATTGAGAGAATTTGATGAGTCAAAGTGTTAAATGAACAGTTCCAAAAGTCAAAAGTGGACAAAAATTGGGAGGCGGAGGGAGTATAATTTTATCTAATGATCCATAAAAATATACAAATAAATAAAAAATTCAATAAATTTTAAATAATTAAGTGTGACATTTTTTAGGAAGGAAGGAAGGAAATACCGAGTAGTAAACTAAAAGTATGCTACTCCGATTATTATATAAACAAAAATTTTATCCGGTTAAACATCTACCAGTAAATGACTACATGTCCTACAACATCATCCCACGGGAAAGCAGCTTTTGAAATCACTCCTCTTTTTTCGATTATGTAAAAGGTGGAACGCCCCTGACACAATTGTGAAGAAGATAAGTCAAGGTATAATCTCAATATGGTCTTTGGAGAGATCATTACACACTCGATGCGCGGGAAAAACTATTGCAAATAATAGAACTCTTACACTGCCGTTGGCGGAATTTGATTCTAAGATCAACAAGTTTGAAATCGATCCTCTCTTTGGACCAGCTGAACTAGTCATAGGATTCTTTACCTATTCTAATACACCACGCGTCATGACAAAATAGTGACATAAGATGAGCACATATTGCATTCATGTGCAATTGTAAAATTAAATAAATTTTTTTCTAAAATTGTGGTTTTTATATTATGTCATGGAACAAATTTAGTCAAAAATTTAGACTGGTTGTTGCAGGCTGAGGAAAAATTTTATACTCCATTCATCTTAAGGCTCAATTTTTATTTTTTCAAGTAAGATGAATTTTGAGTTTCATTTAAACAAATTTTGTAATATAGATATTAGTATAAAAATGATTTTATTAAATTAAACTTAGTGAAATCTTTCAAATTTTAATTTCAATGTACAAATATATAACACGGAGTACATGTTGAAAGTAATTCTTGTTTGTATATACGAAAAAACAAACTAACTAAATTGTCAACTATTGAAAAAAAATATTGAAAAAAAACATAGTTTCACCATCGTTAACATTTAACAATCTAACAAAGTATATATCGAATCTTGACCTAATTTAATTGACATTTCAACATTTTTTCAATTTCTCCAAATAAATGCTTCATTTGTTTGTCATTACCTTTCTTTTTTTGGTTGTGTTAACATTATAAATATGCTTAAGGTAACCATTATACCCCGGATAGAGTAATAAACTTAAACTAAAAAATTCATTTAATTAATTTAGATGAAAATGTTCAAAATTGGGATATGTGTGAACGGCCCAATGATGAATTGGGCCAACCTAGACTCGGGGTCCAGATGGTGTCCCATCTCGAGGGTCTAATTCATACTCGGGTTGATTCATACTTGTGTAGTACTCCGTATTATGTAAGCAGGGCGAGTTTGGGGAGGATCGAGCAGTCCTACCAAACCGAGGGCCTATTTATTTAATACGGAGTAGTCCAATATTCTCATATTCTATAGTCCAAATCTTGTTTCCTACTCTCTACGTCCCTAAATAGATTATATTTTTTTTATCTCCTCTCGATAACTTTTGTTTGTTTAAACGATTTCATTAATTATTTGGTAAAATAAAAAATTCTTGTCACCTCTTGTTTTGTAGAACTTTTGATGTAGTTTTTTAATATGTAATTTTTATATCTTATTGATATACCAATTTTTAAATAAAATGATTTCAAAAAGTAGAAAATTTTTCTCCGTAACCCGCAATTTGTAATCAAATTGAGGATGGAGGGAGTATGTTAAAAAACAAAATGTTGCAGGTGGGAGTTAAACTTGAATAACTTCAGATTTTAGCACATTACTCATCAACTTAAACTACTAACCTTGTTGTTTCCAAATTCACACACAAAGTTATATATTTTCGTATCGATTTCAATTAATTTCTAATTTTTTAGAAAAAGAAAACACAATTATACAATAAAACTTGTATTATAAACTTTTAAAAATAATTTAATTCATAAATAAATTGGTAGAGAAATAAAAAATAAAAATTATACCGTTCAAAAATAAATTAAAAATTTTACAAAATAAGATGCGATAGTTATATTTTATTTTATCAAATCATCAACCAAAACGAGTTATCAAACAAAAAACATCGAAATTGCTTACAGTTTGGGACGAATAGAGTAAATATTATCAACTTAAGTATGAAAAATATATAAAAAGTTACAATCAACCGTTATTTAAATCTAATGAATAATGTACTTAAAATGTGAGAATTGAAAAAAAGAAGGGAAATATGTAAAATTAGTTGGGGATGAGTCGTGTATGACCACATAAGAAGCACACTAAACCCAAACCCAACCCCATTAACGCACAAAGGCCGAAAAATCTCGCCTAATCTCCTTTTTCCGTTTCCAATTTTGGTCACCCCCACCGTGCCACGATCTCTACCTACTTGTAACCGTTCCCCTTCTGGGTCACGGGGCTATTCTCGTCATTTCACCTCGCAAACCAGATCGATTATCTTTTTGGCACGCCCATTAATAATCACTTTTATCTTTAATTGTCGTTTAGGCCAGAAATTATCCCCCACGAAATGACGATGGTCCCGTGATTAGACACACACCTGCCGATAATGCGCCACGTGGTCTTTGTCCACGTCATCAAAGCCTCGTCTTTTTCTTCTTCTTCATCTCACTCCCCCTCCGCTCTATATAACCACTCCCCACTCCATTTTTTTAACTTCAGCTTCTCGCAAAACGACCCCTATATTCTCATATAATTACAGAGCACCTCTCATCTGGCCGGAGGAATACCCACTGGCCGGGAAGTGTACTTCTCCGGCTGATTCCCGCCCTTCGCAGATGCAATGTCCGTGCACCAGTTCACCGCCGTCACGTTGTGCGTGGAAATCCGTAACGAAGACCTCTCCCTTCCTGGTAATTTTCAGCTTCATCAACTGCACGAAAAGCGATCAAGATCGAGAGGAGGTATCAATGAATAAACGATGTATCAATTTACTTTTAGCGTTTATGTAACTAGCTCGGTTAATTTTGATCGGATTGTCTGGCCGGCGGTGGAAGCTGATTGTTTCCTTGAAATCGAGTCTCTTAGTTGATCTCTGTGAAAATTGAGGCGTTGAGCACAGTAATTGGTACTGAATTGCTCGAGGAGCTGAGAGTGAGTGTGTCTGTGTCTGTGTGCAGGTTTAATTTAGACTCTGAGTGAGTCGGGAAGTACAGATTTGGTAGAAATTAAATGCCGATGATGAAGATTCAGCCGATTGATTCCATACCATCATCGATCCGTGGAGATGCTGCGAGGCCGCTGCCTAAATCGCGAATTAGGAGGTTTTTTGATCGGCCTTTCACTAGCGCTCTGCGAAGCTCGTCGGCGTCGGAGAAACCTGCCGCCGCAGCCGGAGGAGTTGCAGTACCGTACGGGAAAGATGGAGCTCCTTCCTCTGCTGTTGAGTTCGAGCCTAGCTCTGTTTCCTTGGATAAGATGGTCCGGAATTTCATAGAGGAGAGCAATGAGAGGCAGCCGCCGTCTAAAATCGGACGCAACCGCTGCAATTGCTTCAACGGCAACGGCAGCGACAGCTCGGATGATGAATTCGATTTCGCAACCACCGGATTCCCTGATTTCCTCGCCAATTCTTCCTCCTTCGGCGACTCATCTGATAGCATCAAGGTTCTTAGTTTCTGCACAAATCCCTAATCCGATCAAATTACTGTAATATACTTTTAATTTCCGGTTGATTGTACAGTTTGATTGATGTGTCGTTTTTTACCCTGGCTGGAACAATCCAGAACTTGATTCCTTGTGTAAGTGTTGCGGAGAGGAATCTCTTAGCCGACACCTCCAAAATCATCGAGATGAACAAGGCTTGCAAACGCAAAGACGATCTCCGGTTAATCGTCGCCGATGGCCTCTTAGCTCTCGGCTACAACGCTTCCATCTGCAAATCCAAATGGGAAAAAACTTCATCTGTTCCTGCCGGTACTTGCAATTTAAGGAGTACTTGTTTCCCGTCGCAATTGTTTCAGTCGTATTTCCCTTTCAATTCTGAGAATCTGCGTTTGATGCAGGAGAATATGAGTGCGTGGATGTGATCATTGAAGGAGAAAGAGTGATGATCGATGTGGATTTCCGATCGGAATTCGAGATTGCGAGATCAACCGGGAGCTATAACGCCGTTCTTCAGTTGCTGCCGCTCATATTCGTCGGAAAAGGTGACCGGCTTCTGCAAATCGTGTCGATCATGTCGGAGGCTGCGAGGCAGAGCTTGAAGAAGAAAGGTATGCACATCCCGCCCTGGCGCAAAGCTGAGTACATGAAAGCCAAGTGGCTCAGCCCTTACACCCGAACTTATCCTCCTCCGCCGTCTCCGCCTCCGCCTCCGCCTCCGACGGAGAAGACCGAACCAGAACCCGAACCTAACGCAGAATCCGAAGCCAACGAGGCTGAGGCCACGGCTGGAGATGAAGTTTTGAGCGAAGGAGGAGAGCTAGACCTGATATTTGGAGAGAACACGACGTCGTTAGAGGCGTCACCGGTGAATCCATCACCCCCAGCTACACTTTCCGAGGCATCTCCGTCGCTGAAACAGGCGGAGATGATGATGTGGCAACCGCCGGCGATAAAGCCCAAAAGTTGCGAAAGAGGGAATCGGGTGGTGGTCACCGGATTGGCTTCCCTTCTCAAGGAGAAACCGTAAAGGAGGAAATAAATTTTGATCCTTTCTTCTTCTTCTTTTTTTTTTTCTTTTTTTAAATGAAAAAAATCTCCTGAGATAAACTTTACAATCTTTTTTTTTAAGTACAGAATATATATATATATATATAAATATAATTATAAACCTATATAGAGCTGGGGGGACTCAATTAGACCACTTCTTTTCTTTTTGGTTTCAGCCCCTTCTTTTTTTTTGTAAGGGTTTTTTTGGTAAGATGTATGGAGCAAAAATTCTTCAGGTGAGAGGGTATTTTTGCGGTAATAAAATTTTTAGACAAAAAAAAAGAGTAAATAAAAAAAATAAATGCGTGGAATAATCCGTATGCAATTTTTGTGGATATTCAATATGTGCCTTTATTTATTTATTTTTGAAAGATTCAATAAGCCATATATTAATTGAACGATGAATTATTGCTTCCGCGTTCACGTGATTTTGTTTTTATAGAGAGAAATAATAGATGGAAATAATAATACTCTTATACGACTTACAGAGGGGTATTAAAAAATGTTAATACGTAAAAAAGAATTATTCATTTTTTCATATAATTGGATTGAATATAAACTCACTTAAGAATTGTTATGCGCGTGGGCAATTAAAAGTATTAAAAGTTTATTTAGTGGAGAAAAGAAACTTGTAACTCACTCATTTCTTTTACTAAAAAAAGAGGTATTTTTACCATCTCTAGAAGTTTTTTTAGTTAGGAGTATTAACAACAAAGAGAAATTTTTTATGCCACGAAAAGGGTGTGTGTGTATATATATATATATATATATATATATATATATATATATATATATAAAGATTAAGGGCTAACTTTAGAGAACTGGAAATGCTCTTAACGATGTTACATCAAAATGGCGTTTAACGTTGTTATGACTTTAAACACCACCCTTGAAAAATGAAAAAATGAAATTGGTTCGGTCCGAAATATATATTTTGGGTTCTATTTTATTATTTTAAAATATTTAAGCTTCAAAATTAAGGATGAATTTAAGAATATGAAGTCCTAAAATTTTAGGGTCTCTTACTGTTGACCACTTTGCGCACTCTCCAGGCCACCCATGACCGCCCCCTTCCCATCATGCAAGTATTAACACGATGAAGAAGGCTAAAAAGAGCTTCCAAAATTTGGCTATTGCCAAATACTAGACTCGAACCCGTGCGTTGCACGGCCTGAGTTAAAGCTAAATAAATAAGGGAAGCATTGATAGAAGTAAAAGATAAAATTTGCTTTAAACAAAGATACATAATATATATTAAAGATGAGAAGTTTTACAACAACGCACAATGTAATAAAATAACATAATACGTTTCAGAAAACTTTTTTATATACTACATTTGCAGTTTTATTAGATGTCGCAGAATCTTCACCACAAATCAAAATCTTTAATCCATTGTGAGTAGTGACTCGTGAAAATGCCACATAAAGCTGGTCATGACTAAATACAGATTTTTTAGTAAAAGCCTAACATGCGTCAATGAATGTCCTTGACTTTTATTAATGGTTATAACATAAGAAATCATAATCGGGAACTATTTCCTTTGAAATTTAAAAAAAAAATCTTGCATCCGATGGTGTAAGCAACAATCACGGGATAATAATTTCTTGACCAATGTTTTTCCCTGTCAATAATCTCGGGATAAAAATATGTTCATATAATTCATCCATGTTTTTTCGGGCCAGTAAATACTTAACCAATAAATACACTCACTCCGTCATTGAGTATTTGTCGACATTTGATTTTTTCCATAAAAATTAGTAAATTTTGACCTTAAATTAAAAAAAATGGTATTAGATATTGATACAAAAATAGTTTTATTACATTTATTATATCAATAATTGTCAAAAAATTGATTTATCTAATTAATATGCAATTTATATTTTATTTAATTATATGTCAAAAATTGAAGATAATTGACCAAAAAAGTCAAATCAAGATAAAAACCTAGGGAAGGAGATGGAAATATCTAATAGGCAATAGCTCAAAAAATTTCCGTACCTGTGCGTTGCATCGTAAAAAATTCGTTATTATATTTGTCACGTCTTAAAATAAATTTATTCTATTTATAATATCAAATTTTATCAAAATATTACTTTATCTAATAACAATACAATATATATTATATTTAATAATAGATCAAAAGTTAAAAATACATAACAAAAAAAAAGTCAAACCTAGGCAAAAACTCAGGGACAGAGATAGAAATATATACTCCCTCCGTCCCTAAATAGATTACAATCTTTTTTTCTCTCTCCTCTCGATAACTTTTGTTTGTTTACGCGATTTCATTAAGTATTTGATAAAATAAAATATTATTGTCGCCTCTTGTTTTGTAGAACTTTTGACGTAGTTTTTTAATATGTAATTTTTATAGCTTATTGATATACCAATTTGTAAATAAAATAATTTCAAAAAGTAGGAAATTTTACTCTGTAACCCACAATTTGTAATTAAATTGGGGACGGATGGAGTAATAGGCAATGACTCAAATTTTTTTCGAACCTGTGCGTTAAATTTTATGTGAATATACACATTTTCCTGGAAACAAATTATTTTTAGAAATAATATTTAATATTCATAAGTTATTGAGTTAACTAATAGTAATTTCTAACACTAAAAAGCAAAGGTTTGAAACAATGATTTTAATTTTTGTCTTCAAGCTATTGTCTTGATATAAAATTTATGTCCGAAGTTGAACATAGAAACCAAAATCTATGTTTGGTATCACAAAAAGTGACTTAGGTATAGCTAACTATGACTGAGAACTAAATTTTCATGGGTATAAAAGCATATAGTAAGGGGTAACCAACTCTCCACATTAAATGCATGTATTTCTTAAATCTTGAGCCACACATTTCTTCTTCTCGACTCTCGAAAATATAAAGCATGCATTTTTTAAGTTTTTGCTTTTTTTCGTTTTTCCATAAAGAATAATGATGAAGCACCCGGTTCTATGGTTACACATCCAACTCTTCACATTAAATGCATATATTTGTTAAATCTTTTCTTTTATTTGATTAGACATAAAGATTACCTTGAGGCACACATTTCTTTTTTTCGAATCTCTAAAACATAAAGCATGCATTTTTTAAGCTTTTACTTTTTTCTTTTTTCCATAAAAAGTAATGATGAAGCACGTTGTTTTATGCCTACACATCAAGCTCTCAACATTAAATACATATATTTATTAAATTTTCTCTTATTCGATTAAACATAAAGATTGTCTTGAACCACCCATTTCTTTTTCTCGAAAAGATAAAGCATGCATTTTTCAAACTTTTGCTTTTTCATTTTTAATAAAGAGTAATGATGAAGTACGCAATTTTATGGCTACATGTCCAACTCTCAACAATAAATGCATATATTTCTTTTCATCTGTCTCCATTGTTTTCATCTGTCTGTTGGGGCTAGAGTAAAAATCTAGCTATGACTACTACCATCCTTGCCAGAGCCGTTATTCGCCTTGGGGCCTAGGGTTTTTTTATCAGGAAACCCAAAATATAAAAATGCTTAAAATTATATTGTAAAAATGGATTATAAAGAAATTAAAGGAAAAAAGAAGAAAGATAACATTACCTCTCTGGAGTACGTCCATGTGCCCCTATTGTCGTTGGGATTTAACTGTCATCAATACTTAGCCCGGTGGAATATTCTGTCAGTGAAAAACAGAGTTAACATGAAGGCAAGAAGTCAAGAGATGAAGATTATTTCAAGTGTTATAACCAATGAAAATGGTAAAATATATCTTCATTAACTCATTTCTATTCTCAAATAATGCATCTCAATCTTTTTTCTTTCTTCTTTTAGGATGGATTCTCCCAAATCAGAATCCAATCTCCATTGAATTGCCCAAAAAGACTCTTTATTAAGCATTAAGAAAGTCACTTTCAAAAGTAAAAGGTATCTAAAGAAGCTTAAAGGTAAAGAATATCTGGCCACACTATTTAAGTGTATTATTTACATTCAAAAATCTAGTGGTAAAAGCACAATGCTTTAAAGGCTCATCTGCAATACGATACTTTTTTAGTTTTTTATATTAACTAAATAAGCATGTTGTCATGTGAATAGACAAAATAATATGAAGTTTGGATGATGAAATGGTTGTGACTGCACTTGCAAATTTGCGAGTTAATATCTTCTAATCAAAGTAAAATTAAAGAGAGGTTAAGAAATGGATTACTCCACATTATGTAACATATGAACTTCACTGGAGTAACATATAACATCACATTTTAATGACACAGTAGAAAAGAATTCAAGAAATGCTTACTTTTTAAGTCGTATAGCATCACATTTTAGTGACACAGTAGAAAAGAAAACAAAAAGAAACACTTACTCTTTTTCACTCGGAGCCATGCTTCGGTTGCTTCTCATCTTTTCAAACTTAATTAGAACCTTGTTAGGAAGGATCTAACAAAAACATAACCCATATATAGAATTAAATATTAAAAAATAATTTGATGTAAGAAAGAAAGTAATTCAAAAGGAAGCAAACCTAGCGGAAAAAAATTCTTAAGAGAACACCTGTGGCTCTAATGAAATAGCTAAAAGAGAGACCTACAAATCCTCCTGCTCCACTCCTGCGATAAGATTTTATTTTTTTTATCATATTAGGCAACATATATTTCTTGTTTGTTCCATAAATTATACTTTCCTTTTTTCATTCTAAAAGTGTAAGCTTTAGAAACAATTGAAACTTTCATTCAGTTCCATTGAACAAAGCTCTGTGTTCATGTGGCTCATCTTATACTCAATACAAAGCTTTCCAATTAAAGCATAATTAAATAGGGTTTCCAAGATTAAATACATGCCTAATTTAATTTGCTCTTTGCTTTAAAATGACAAAAAAATAACAATATAAGTGAAGCTACTTGTATTCATCATAAAAACAACCTCAAACATTTCTCATCAAACGTTGAGAGCCTGTAGCTGCAATTTTTGGCCGAAGCTCCTCCGTTAATGGCCGGAAATTTTAGTAGCGTACTCGAGAAGGCGGAAGTCCGTAAA